ATTTCGCCCTTTCAGCCCCAAACCTGCTCGGGCCGGGCCCAGGAGGTTCGAGGGCTGACGCTTTGCTCCCCAGGGGCTCTGGCTGGCACGGAGGGGGCTGCCTACCCCCCAAAAATGGAAGAGTGGCCCAGCGTGAACAGGACGGGCTTCCCCGCCCCGGGCCAGGCGGTCAACGGGCTCGACAAGGCGACCATGGAGGGGGACATCAAATACCCGCAGGTGACTGCTGGGGGGGCAGCGGGGGATCGGGGGGGACAGGGAGAGGGGCAGGAGGGGACGGGGGGGAGGACGGGATGGGCATTAGTGGGGCTTGAAGAGGGGCAGGGAAGAATAAGGCAGGGGGACAGGGAGGGGACAGGGAAGGGGCAGATTTCCCTCTGCTCCCGTTTCCCCTCTGCCCGACCCCCACCTCCCCGAGGGGGACCCCGGCCCCTAGAGCCGGGCGGGCCGTTCTGAGCCCCCTCACTCTCTCCCCTCTCTTTGTGCCTGTCCCCAGCCCGGCCCGGGGCTCTCCTCGATGGGCACCTTCCTGCCGGCCTGTGCCTACCCCCCCTCCACCCAGCCCGGCGTCTACGGCGGCTCCCCCGGCGGCTACATCGCCCCGGGCCCCCCCTGGCAGCCGCAGGGGACCCCCCTGGCCCACCACGGCCACGGCGTGACCGTCCACGGCGGAGACCTGGCCACGGCCATGGCGTTCAAGCAGCCCGGGAGGGAAGGTGAGCGTGGGGACAGCGCGGGGGGACAGCGGGGGGAGCTGCCGACCCGGCCGGGGTGGGGGGCTCGGTAAGCGGGTGAGGGGCTGGGGAGGGTCCCCCCACCTGAGTCCCCCCCGGTGTTCCCCGTCCAGCTCCTCCAGCCTGAGCCAGCACGTCCCGATTATAAACTGGAAATTGTTTTTCCTCCCCGTTCGCACTCGCTGGGAACAGCCGGGGAAGCCTTTTCCCGACATCCCCCCCTGCCCCGAATTAACAGGTCGGGAGCCTTATAATGATACAGAAAGGCAGAAGTCTGGACTGGGAATTCTGAATTCCGAGTAATTAGCTATTAATGATTAAGTGGCAGCAATTATTTAACGATTTTTATAAGTAACTATTATTTTATTTAATTTGTTACCCCAAGGAATAATTAATGATTTATCTCCGAACGCTCCCCCAAGAATCCCATGGGAGCAATTCGAGGCTGTTAAATGGGGCGGTTGTTTTGTCTCCTGTTAATTATTTCTTCTCATTTATGGAGCTCTATTTCCTCGATGGGCGGATTCGTTTTTAATATCCCAATTTTTCCGCCCATCGATATTTTTGGCCTTTTCCGGCAGTATTAGAATTTCTATTATTTTAATTAATTTGTTATTAATTCCCCAGTTATTAGTCCATGCTTTTCTGGGGTTTTAATATTTTATTTGTTTGGTTTGGTTTTTTTATCCTTTACCACTTCTATCTGTTGCGAGTAATCCAGGGATGAGAACAGATAATTTAAATCGATTATTTAAAGAGGGGGTGGAAAGAAGGAGAAACAGAAAGCGAGAAAGCAAGGGGAAGGAAGGAAAACGAATGAAAGAAAATGAGGGGGGGGAAAAAGGAAATAAAAGAAGGATATAGAACAACTAAAGGCAGAAATCCGACCTGTGCATACTTAGTGTATTTGTGAGGTATTTTAAGTGACTTGTAGCCTGAATTTTCTGATTTGCTGATTTTTAAGCGGTTGTGCCCAAAGGCTCACAGACTTTTCTAAATGTTTGTGGGGTTTTGTTTTGCATGTTATTTTGTTGTTGTTGTTTGGTTGTGGTGGTTTTGTTGTGGGTGGGTTGTTTTTTTTTTTTTGGCTTGTGTTTTTTAAATTTATTTTTCTCTTTTAAAGCTTTTTTTTTAATATTTTTTTTCAATTATTTATTTCGAATCGGTTTTCTGGTTCTGCGACTTATCTGGGACATCCCAAATATTGGATTATCTGGCAAGAAGCCTCCCCCAGCCCTGCCGTGAGCAGGGGACTGGAGGAGAAAGGGTGGTGGCCCAGTGGGATGGGCTGGGGGGCGTTCCTGGCCCCCGGTACCTGCAGCGAGTGCAGAGAGCGGGGAAAGGGTGGAAGGAAGGAGTGAAAGACCGACAGGCAAACTCAGCCAGGCAATTTCACCCTCGAATTTCAGATCTTTTCCAAATTCACAGATTTTCACTCCCCCTGCCTCTCCCAGTGCCCCCGGCAGGCCCGGGATAAATATCCCCCTCTCCGAGGGCAGCGGGTGGATGGTGCGAGGGGGGGATTCCCGTGGCCTGGGCCAGCCTTGGGCGGAGCTGGGGCTGGGATGGAGCTCAGCAGGAGTTTCGCTGCCACTGGAATGGTGTGACGGTCCCGTCCCCTTCCTCTCCCCGGCACAGTCCTCTCCCAGGGCACTCCAGCTTTAAGGAAGTGCGTGGGATGTGTTCTGTGTGTGGCTGGGACTGGTGTGGGTCCCCTCCCCAGGTAAATCGCTCTCACTATGCCCTCACCATGGTCCCTGTCACTGGGGGGGCACATTCCCCTTTTCCCTCTCTGTTTCCCCTGGGTTTGAGGAGCCTGGCAGCCCCTTTCCAAAGGGGCTGGATGAGGAGCCCTGTGGGGCAGAACTGCTCTTGGGGGGCTCTTACAGGAGGGTCTGCATGCTCGCAGGCCATCAGTCCCCTGCCTTGTTGCCTGGTTTTTCCCTCTCCACCTTTCTTGCAGTCGTGGACAGAAAACCCACCAGCCCCGTGGGGAAACCTCCAGACCCTCTAAATGCCATCCATGGACTGTCTATCCCAACCTCCTCGTCCTAGAGCCCCAGAGGAGCCGCGAGGGACAGGGACTCTTGGAATAAGCACCTGCAAACTGTAACTGAAGCCCCAAGTGCCATCGAACTGTACCCACAGTGCCACTGCCACTGCAGGGACAAGGAGACAGCCTGGGCGGTGAGAGGTGACATTTCTCCCACGGCAAATCCTGGCCAGGACATTCCCAGAGGGACACTTCACCTCCTTTGGATTGGAAAGGGTGACAGAAGAGACTCAGTCTTCCTTCTTTATTTTGTATTTTTTTTTTTTACCCCTTGCTTTCAGTTGTTGTTTCTCGTTCCCCGTGTCCCCGAAGACTGCTGGATGCAGTGAGTGCCTCTGTCCCCAGCCACTGCTGGGAGCATCCCTGGCTCTGTCCCAGCCCGAGGGAGCAATTCCTGCCTTTCCCACGCCGGAGCATCCGTGCCGGAGCCCCTTCTCCATCCACCTTCCAGTGCCTCTGCCCCAGAATAGGAACGGACAAATGTGCCACGATGTTTCATGATATATTTTTCTAATAACAAACCTTAATAAAAAGTGACAGCTGTGGGCACACGCTGCTGACCTCCCTCCCTCCTTCCCTCCCTCCCCCGGGGTCTGGTGGAGCACCATCCCTTCTCCCGGGGCCTCCCAGCCTCAGGCAGCACCTGTGAGTGGCAGGACCCTGTGGGATCTCGGGTGCCCTCGGAATCGCCCTGTGCCAGGCGTGGATTTGTGCCCCCAACCCAATGTGAGTGGCAGCTCTGCACCCCATGCTGCATCCTGGGGTTCTCCCGCATCCAGGGGGTCCGTGGCCTCGCTGTGTGACTCCTGGAGGGGCTACAGGGCAGTCCTGGCCACCTCCCACCCACCTCACCCGGTGCCGGGGGGCTGGTGGGGGCTGCCCACCCGCCAGGGCTTGTCGCCCCTGTCACCCCCTCATGCCCAGCCGGCTGGGGCGGTTCAGGATGGGCTCCACGGGCTCTTGCATTCCCTGGCTCCACCAGCCGCTGCCACTGGCGGCGGTCCCTTCATTGTCTGCAGAAGGGGAAGGTCCTCCAGCGGGGCAGGGAGGAAATATCCTGGCAGGAGAATACACGCCTGGCTTTCTGCGGAGAGGGTGTCTCTGGGGGAGGGAGGGCGGGAGGGAGGGGGATGCCAAACGCATCCCACCGCAGGAAACTGGTTTGTCTTCATCCTCGGAGTGGCAAGAGTCAGTTTTGCCTCCGCTGCTGCAAAGAGCAGAGGGCTGTGCATCCCCCGGCAAAGCTCGGGAGGGGAAAGGAGGGAATTTTAAGTAGGTGAGAGGATTGTCCCAGGGCAAGATCTGCTGCCAAACTGTCACTGGCTGGATTCTAAAGGATGTGAGGATGGAGGAGCCACCTGAAACAGATGCTTGGTTAGTCCCCTGCCAGGTTTATCCTTTCAAAGCTCCATTCCAGTGCGTGCTAGAGCAGCTTTGGAACAATGATGGGCAGCAACACCCTTAAAGCATCGGTGTTTGCTGTGTGCTGGGTTCTCAGCACCCCACTGTGACTGCTCATTCCCCATCCCAGGTAGGATAGGCAGCGCTCCTGCACCCTGTGGAGATGGGACAGGGATGGGCAGGGCAGGAGTGCTGGATTTGGGCAGGGACACAGTGCAGGGTCCAGTCCTTTCCATCAGTGTCCTGCTGGGATTGTGAGTTATTCCCTGAGTTATTCCCTGAGTTATTCCCTGAGTTATTCCCTGAGTTATTCCCTGAGCTATTCCCTTCCAAGGCCCTGATGGATGTCCCTGCCAAAACCTGGGACAACAGCTGGATGCCGAGCACCCCCCCCAGCCCCAAGGCAGAGGTGTCCCTTTGGAGGCTCTGGCTGGGCAGGGGCAGCTGCAGGAGCACTGCCCGAGGGCAAGGGCCGTGTCCCAAACCCCGGGGCCTGGGCCTGCAGCCCCAGCCGTGTGCTGTCAGGTGGAATTTGCCACCAGAGGGAGACCCCCTTGTTCCAGAACAGCCTCCCGCTGCAGCCGGTGGGGAAGCCTCACCTTCCCAGCGGGAACAGGTGGACACACGGAGCGTATTCCCGGCTGCAACCTGTTCCACTGCAGGTACTGAGGGGGCCACGAGAACAGGGTGGCTTTTGTCCACTCAGGATTCTGGTTCCTGCCTTTTCTCAGCAGCAGCCTCTGCTAAAAATGCGATTTTAATGATTTTGTTTGGAGAAGGGATTTTCTCATTAAAAAGCGCAACCCCGAACGTGTCTCCGTGCCCAGCAGAATTCCTGGTGCAGGCAGAGCAACCCAAAAAGCCAAACCCGGTGGTCTGTCCCACGCAGATCCACTGCCACCTCTTGGGGTTGGTGCAGGACACTGTGGCTTGGTGTTAAGGAAAAGCCTTGCTGGGTGGAAAACGCTCTTAGTACCTGTATTCCCCCGGGAGCAGGTGGAGTCCCTCCTGGAGGCCAGCAGCCATGGGGAGAACCCTTGGAGGAACTCAGTGCCTGCCTCACACACCTCAGGTAAGTCATTCCCTGCCATGGAAAAATGCCAGGAGCAGAGACCCCCAGTAAATCCCAAAATAAAATCAGCAGGGCGATGTGAGGTGCTGCTCTGCCTCTTCACAAGCCGGGCTCACAGCACATCCCTGCTGCACAGGCACACTGACATAACCCACAGAAAACTGGACCTGGTGGGAGCAGAACTTTGGGGATTGATATAACAAAGTGAGAGAGTGGAAACAATAATCTCTGGCATTTTTTCAGTGATGGTTTTGTCAAAATTGATATCACCCCTCTGAGTGTGTCAGTTCTGATGAACTGGTGCTCTCCATCTGAAAAAAACAAGCCCAAACCCCAGGTTAAAACTGCTCCCACCAGCTCTACCTGTCCCATAAATATTTAGCAGTGCTTGGAGAGTGTGGAGCAGGATGGATAACGACACAGACCTCGCTCAGACCTGGGCTCTGTTACTGGAGACTCGCTGCTGGACCACGGGTTGATTTGCTTTTTAGCCCACATCCAGCTCTCAAAATTAGGCTGGTGCAAATCTTCTGGGTTCTGTGTAACTAAATCCTCATCCCTGTGGAGGAACACACGAGATTCAGAGCCCAGCTCTCGAGAGAAGTTGCAAATCCAGCCATCATTTGCAAAGTTATAAAGCTGCCCACAGCGGCTTAAGTCGTGTTAGAAAATGGGAATTTGATTCCCTGGTTACTCAAGCACTTTATAACATTTCTTCTTAATGAATGATTTTTCAGTTTAGGTGGGGGACTGGGCTGGACCAGCGCACCAGCAGGTTTATCCCAGTGCTGGTGGCCATGGAAACCTTCCCCATAACCCTTCCTGGCTGCTCACAGCCCACGGCCAAAGAAAATCCCAGCTCAGCTCCTCATTTCGCAGCTTGAGATGCCCAATAACTGTCCCCAGCCATGGAGTCTTCTAGAAGAGCATCGATTTCCTGAGGTGAGGAGCCACCAGAGAAAAAGGTTGGTTCTTACCCTGCCAACAATTTCTAGGGAAGAATCTGGATTACTTGTGTCAGTTTGAGCAAACCTGGAGTTTTCACTGGAATTAGACAACTGTGGCACTGAAAGTCACCCCTTTGCCCAGTGTCTGAGCTCTGCCCTTCCCTGTGGGACAGCCCTGGGATGAAATCCCCCAGCCCTGCAACGGAGAGAGCAGTGTCTGTGTTCCCCAGGGAGTCCCAGAAGTGATGGTGATAATCCCCCCAGCTGCAGCTCTGTCACGGAAGCCCCCGCTGACGTCGGCACCTCGTATGGCTGCAATATTTATGTTGCTGCTGCTCGGTGTCCCAGCTGGCTGCTCCCAAAGGGAGAGGCTGGAGAACAGGCTTGTGTTCCCTGGAGGTGCTGAGGGAGGTTTGTGTTCGAAAGGGTTAGAGGGAAAACACTGAGGGTGCGTGGTGTGTGTGGGGACCAGCAGTCACCTGGGCTGGAGCTGCTGCAGGAGGAGAGTGGAAGGAGCTCAGCTGTGTCAGGGTTCTGACAAAGGCTCCCCTCAGTAATTTGTAGAAAGCTGGTGATGATAAATCGAAGGAAAAAAATGTCCTGAACCATAATTGCAGTGTTACTCAGCCACCAAGAAGCTCTGTGGGTTTTGGTCTCCTTGCAGAAGCTTCCGAGTCGATGGATTTTGGGGCAGGCTGGGGAAGGAAGATCAATGACTTGCACAGGGATGACAAGTCTTTCCTTCCTTGACTTGGTACTACCACTAGGAATGTGATATTTCCCCTGGGAAAACACCCCTCCTCACCCCATCACCCCCCTCCCGCAGCATAAATATGAAAGCATTTTTAATCTCGAAGTTATATTAACCTGGCAAGGCCAACCGAAGCTTTCGCTGTGGCTCTCCCGGAGATAGCACTGTTTTGGCACCGGGCTCCCAGAAAGTGATGTCATGCGGAATTTATATGCCAGAGTTTTCCCTTTCTTCTTCAGATTTGTGGCAATGTCAAAGTTCTTCTCCGGAGCAGATCTGGTTTTAATATTTCATATTTACGTTTCTCATTTCGGGGCTGGCTGGAACCTCTTCTGGTTTCAACCTTGCAGATGCTGACGCGACGGAGGCCGGGACGGGCGAGGAAGAGGAGCTGGGAGGGATGGATGGGGCAGCCTTGGTTTCCTAAGCCTTGAGAAGCGGCCTTAAAATAGCCCCTGCTTATTTCTTAGGAGCTGTAATTGCCTGTGCCCCTTCCCACAGGGAAGACCTCCCCGGGCCAAAAAGGAGGCCTGGCCGGCGCATCCCGGCTGCCGTGGCCTGGCTGGGGCTGCCAAACCCCACGGATCACGGGAAGTGCCAGGGATGTGCAAGGCCCAAGGGGCAGCGGGACCACGCACAGGGTCCCACAGGATCCGTGTCCCGGGGGTGGGTCACGGGTGGCCTTTTCCTGATCCCAGTAGAACACAGGAGGCTTGTGGAGATGGGCAGGGTTTGGGTCCGCAGCAGCAACCCCAGCTCCTCGCACGCCTTGGGCTGCAGTTGCCTGGTGGTCCCTGGGGATTATCCGAGGGAGAAAGTAAGCAGGCTTGC